GGGGGGGGGGAAAAAATCCTGTGGTAATAGGACATTGGGGTTTCTTTCGGCATTTCCCTGGAAAGGGTGTGCTCCCTGGGTTTGGTTTGATTGGATGAAGTCAGCTGGATACATCGATCTGGCCTATTTACAAAGGTGGGGATTTTGGGGGTGGATTTTTGCCTTTATCCAATTGCGACAGTGGCCTCCAGCTAGACCGCCGCTCTCCAGGCTAGTGCGTGGTAAATGTAAAGCTGCTGCACGCTGCAGCCCTTCTCGGTCAAGGGACAATTTTGGAGAGAAAGCCATGCCGAGATACACGGTACACGTGCGCGGAGAATGGCTGGCAGTGCCCTGCCTGAACCCCACCAACACCATCGGGTGGCTGGGAAAGGAAGCTGTGAGACGGTACATGAAAAACAAACCCGACAACGGGGGATTTGCCTCGGTGGAAGAAGTGAAATTTTACATTCGGAGGTGCAAGGGGCTTGGCTTGCTGGATCTCGATGATACGGTGGAGGATGCCCTGGAGGACAATGAATTTGTCGAAGTGGGTAAGCAAAACCTTAAGCAACACATGGCAGAGGGACCACATTGGCATCTGTATTGGCAAGCTGTCATTTAGCTTGTCTAAAATCGCGTCTGAGGTAGCATCTACAATTTTTACGGAAAAAATATCTTCTTTTTTAAGTGTAGAAATATATAAGGTGTAGAAGCTACAGGGTTCTATATACACCGTTTGTACATGATATCACGTATGGTATATGATTGTATGGGATATGGAGCACGTGTCCATGGGTTGGGTGGCTCTTTTGCCTTTAGAGTACCTTAAATAAACTACATAACCTCAAATATGTATCAAAGCATACAAATATATTTGAGGCTGATAACTGCAAATCAGAATCCTTACTGGTGTGTGTTGCAATGAACAACAAATTCATTTATATGTAGAATACAATTTAATCCTGTTTGTGTTTATTTGCATATTTCTTCTAGTTATAGAAGGAGATATAATGTCTCCGGATTTCATACCATCTCAGCCAGAAGGAGTTCATTTGTATCCTTTTTTTTGAGCATTTTGTGAACTTTTTTTATAATTTCCTATATTTCCCTGTTCTTTTAGTGTTCCTTCATTCTTAAAACACACTGCCAGCTGTAATCGAATGGTCACTACCTGTGAAATCCTGTCTGCCCTTTATTTTCCTTTACAGAACTTTCAGATACAGCAAATACCGAGAACCAGAACAGGTAGGAATCGCCAATGATTTTACAACTCGGTAACAAATCCTGCCATTCCCCAGAGGGTGTCGAGAGTTGAGCCACTGCAGCATTCACAAGAGCAGGGGCTGTTGGTTTGGCTGGGCCTGGGAATCAAAATTATAACGTATTTATTGTGTTTTTGTTAGCGAGTTCCTGTCTTACGAATGAGCGTGAGCAAGCTTCCTGGCATTGCTGAG